GGGTCCTTGGGTTGTTGACGCTTGGTTGGTTAGGCCGGGGGTGCATCATGTGTTGTGTCCAGTTGCGGCTCTCCACCTTTACCTGCGCGCCACGGCCTCAGTGGCCAGAAAATCTTTTTGAGATGATTTCGGGGCTTTAGTGTCCCCACGGCCCGGTCCTCGACCAGGCCTCCCCCCCCAGGAAGCAGCCTGTGACAACTGATTAACTCCCAGGTACCTATTTTACTGCTAGGTAACAGGGGCATAGGGTAAAAGAAGCTCTGCCCATTGTTTCTCATCGGCGCCCAGGATCGAACCCGGGACCTACAGGATCACAAGTCCAGCGTGCTGTCCGCTCGGCCGCTCGGCTCCCTTGTTTCTTTTCGGTAGTTTCGTCATTATTGCAAGTTTTCCCTTGCACCTAGATCCACCAAGCCTGTATGGTGTGCGTTTCAGTACTTCAGAAATCTGGAACGATCTGTAATCTCTTATGATAATATTTGCATGAAGCGTTTGTCCTCTCGCTGACTGCACTGACGACAAAATGGCCGCTCTGTTGATACTCTGCCGCTGCCGTTGATACTCCGCTCTGCCGGGGACATGCTTTGGGTTGACCCGGTTTCTCTTCTTCCCTGTTCCAGGGGTTCGGGTCTCCCAGGTTTTCCGCAGGGTTATTTGGTCCAGCCAGCCTGTGGTCTATCCTTATGCCCACGACGTTCGTAAGTTTGTTACGCTGGCTGCCATCTTCGGTAATATGTCTTTGGCTGACATTCAGGCACGTGGTCTTTGGAGGTTGTACAGGGTCCTGATCGCTGGCTACCTTGTCAGTGTTCCTGGGCCTAGTCGGGCCTGTGTCGCATTGGGTCGGCAGTTTCAGCCAGTTGTCTCGACTTCGTGTTGAGGAGTGAGGGCTGACTGCCTCCTGGGTAAGTCCTTCTTATTTTGTCTTTGGGCAAGTAGCTCAGAAGAGCCGAAAAGGCCCCCCTCCGAAAACCAGCGTTTAATGTAATGAAACACCATTTTCTGGGTGAGACCCTGAGGCTTCCCGGCAACCTTCCCTCTGGTCGGCAGTTTTTTGCGTGTTTTGACATCCAGCCTCAGAACTGGAGTGTGAATAGCTGGCACAGGGGTCTGGGGCTCCCCCTTTCACCTCCCGGGGAGGGGGGCTGTGCAGACAACGGTGCGGTGACGTAGTGACATCATGCTTATTGCTTGTTTTTATTTGGGGACTTCTGTCCACTAGTTCGGCTTTCAGTAGCAATATTTTAACCAGAATAAGGGTTTGTTTTGGAGCGCTTACCTTTCTGGATGCCTGACCCAGTCGATGGCAGATATAGAATGCTTCCAGCCACACGGGTTTCTATAGGCCATTGCTCCTCGTGCCTCACTGAGGGCCAGGTTCTGGCTCGTGGTCCCCTGTAGGCCTAAAACTTCATGTGCATTGACTGATGAAAGGGTCTAATGCATTCATATCAGCACGGTTAGCTCCGGGGAGCCTCACCCAGAAAATGGCATTTCACTACATTCAACGCTGGTTTTTTATGCTATTCGCTCAGTTATTACTGCAGAAGAAAACAGCAAATCCCACATCAAAAAGCTACAAATTGTCCAACAAAAAAAAAAAACATCCAATAAAAATCCCATTATAGGATTTTTTGACCATTATGGCAAGGTCTCATATTTTCCATAATGGTCATATTTCCTTTTAAAATGAGGATATGTACTGTATTTTGAACTTCAATATTTATGTACCATCACCTTCATATATCTTACTAGTAATACAAGGAAAATATCTTAACTATATATTTTTCTGCAAGAAGTGCTGAACCAACTGGGCTGTGGCAGATATATGGGCCTGCGGGCCCTTCGAAGCAACAGCCATTTTGACCAAGCTCTCACTAGGCCGGGCTTGGGGAGTAAAAGTACTCCTGGAACTCCATCCAAGTACATAAAGGAGTTTGTTTATACAGTAATAATGTATAAAGAATGTCCACGATCCTCGGTGGTTCCTGGTATTATCATTCCAGCAGAAATTTGGTAAACTACAGTATCATATGACATGTCATCTGTTCTTTTAAGTTGTGTCATGTCTCCTGGTCAACAGAGTCATGTCTAAATGCTAGATGAATATTTCATCACAAGCTGTACAATAATGACAATCCGTAACGCTAATACTGGTACCTGTACTGTATTCAAATTTAACAGTGTGTCAGGATATGATCAAATCATACACAGCATTTCTACACGTCTTGTTTTGTAATTAAAATCATATGCAGTATATTGTTGGGTTGGGTTTGTTTGGGTATGGTTAGGTAGGTTTGGAAATCCTTTGGCAAATAGTCTGTAAAACAATTGTAATGGCAGTTTAATTTCCCATGTCTTAAGGAGTTTCACCACTCTAAACATGTGTACTGTAGTATTTTTATAATACAGTATGTATATTGAAAATCATGAGTGGTAACTAGAATTGAATAAACTATACAGTATTTGAGTCTCACTCGATATTCATGTGCAATTTAATCCAATATCAGTGAGTGTAGGTCTGAGTAAGCAAGTTGTAGTTTTGCATTTCCTTGTGTATGGTTTCCCATTGTTTGGATAGGAACTTTGTAAGACTTCTTGTGGGGATCCAAGGCTTAGTTACTCAGTACAGTACAGGGGTGTAGTCTGACCTCAGGCCGGGCTCGGGAAGTTGAAGAACTCCCGAAACTCCCTCCAGGTTTCCAGTACAGTACGATCCTCGGAATCTTCAAAAGGTAACCAAAAGATAAGGTAGAATCTGCTGAGGGGCCATCAGAAATGGGTATTTAGTTACATTCAGTGATTGATTTGTACTGGTGAAATTCATTTACAAATGGGTGATATGACTGCTTGGCTAAACACCATTGCCAACTTGGCAGAACACTTCTCAAGTGTTATAGCGTGAAGATGTTTATGTCTGGTTTGTCTCCATGGCCTGAGAACCTATAATGTCTGCTCTGTTAAATAGAATGAAACCACAAAAAATATTAAGAAGACTATGCATATACCTATTCAAATAAAGTACAGTATGTTAAAAATGTGAAGGTATCTGATTTGAATCAGAATAAAAATTAAATAATTTGTGTATTGATGTATGTATAGATATCAGTGGTACTTGTCTATTGTTTGCAGTACTCAGTACTGTACTGTATTAATACTGAGTAAAAGTACTAATACAGTTAAAATTATTTGTTAAATTTCAGCTGATGATTCAATTATTTTTTTCACAACTGAGGTTACAGAATATGACTTCTGGCTCAGTAGCATAAGTTAGAAAATTTCTTAGCCAACATGTAAGGTGACCCACAACAATGAGAGGTAACAACAAGCCAAACTTTTATGGATAATCTCTCTTAATGTATCATAATCACTAAGAAAATTCAAATTTGAAGCCCCCCTATCCAATGCTCTCTCTCTGTGAACTAGCATGTGATTATCTGGTTGGTGGAAGTAGGAATGACTGGTCCAGGTATAGGATCAGAGGTTAGAAGACTTGCATACCAAAGGAAAATTTACAGGGTAATAACATATTTTCTCTCAGCAGTAGGGGCACCTGACATCTGAGTGGATAGCGCTTCGAATTTGTAGTCCTGAGGTTCCGGGTTCGATCCCCCGTGGAGGTGGAGACAAATGGGGAAAATGTTTCTTTCACCATGATGCCCCTGTTACCTAGCAGTAAATAGGTACCTAGGAGTTAGACAGCTGCTACGAGCGGTTTCCGGGGGGGTGTAACAAAAAAGAGGCCTGGTTGAGGACCGGGTCGTGGGGACGCTAAGCCCCAAAATCATCTCAAGATAACCTCAAGAAGATAGTACTGTACCGTGGGCCACAGAACTCGGAGGGAATACCACACAAGACACGATGAACTCTCTCATCCAGAAATGTTGGAAAGCAGTTAATAAGTTTCTTTCTATTCAAACGCAGGCAATGAAAAACAGGATTAACTCATGGTTTGACCAAGGGTTTAAGGATGAAAAATGCGTAAGCACGATGAATGGAGAAATTACAGAAGTACATTACCAGATAGTCAAGGATGAATGCCTTAGAGTGAGAACATAAGAAGATAAGAATAAAGGAAACTGCAGAAGGCCTTCTGTCCCATGTATGGCAGCTCTTATATATACTCGACAAAACTTTTTCATATATACTGTATGTCTACTCTTCCACGAAACAATCCACCTATCCCATATCTGTTATGCTTCCCAATTTCTAAACCAATATTTCCCAAGACGTTTCTGAAACTAAACCTACCCAATTTGTAATCATTGTTTGTGTACTATTCGGGTATTTACCGTATGTATTTAATACATTAATTACATCCCTATTGTTATACCTTTTCATCCATTTGTGTACTTCAATCATATCACCCCCTTACTCTTTGCCATTTTAGAGAATGTAAATTAAGCTTTTTTAATATCTTCTTCATATAGGAGAGTTCTAATTCCTGGAATTAACTTTGTATATTTACTAGCAAAATCTATTCAATAAATCATCTAAATTATTACGAACATTTAAAATTTCTCAAACTGTATTCTCTAGAGTAGTGGTTCCCAAACTCTTTACAGTCATTACCCCTTTTTCATATAGTGTCATTATTAATGGCCCCTTATATGTACTCAGTATTAAAAAAAAATTGAACAACCTTGAGCTCACTCCACTAGCTGGTTATTTCCCCATATCCTTTGGTATCATACCTTGTACACTGCCTCAACTTATGGTCCCCTACATATTGCAAAAAGGGCCCTCTCAGGGGGCCATGGCTCCCAGTTTGGGAATCAGTGTTCTAGTGTGATGGAGAGTGGTATATAATAGTTTACACTTGGAAAAAATTAGAGACTGGTTATAAAATCTGCTCACAGAAATAACTCCTCATGAGACCTAGAGGTATGGCAGGAAGTGCAAAAATAGCCTTGTTGAAAAGCAAAGATGCAATAGGTATGCTAAAAGAAAACTCAACATTAAGGGCCCAAGATTTTCAACACTTTCCCTCTTAATCACAGGGGCATAAATAGTTGACCTCTCACAGTGTTCAAAAGAGAACTTGATAAACACTTCCAAAGGCTACTTTATCAACTGGGTTGTGACTCATTCATCAGACTGGGCAGTGGCATACAACAACCTGGTTGACCAGACCACCAAACACGAGCTTGGCCAGAGACTGGGCCTTTGAGACATTGATTCCAGGAACCAATAACAAGTAAGGGTTTATGTTACTGAATCTGTCTACTGAAGCTTACAACAAACAAATATTATCAATTGCATATGCAAGGTTAGCCAACATAAAACTATGTTTAGAAATCAAAATTTGTAATTATTTAGGACTAGGCCATTGTGTGTGTGTGTGTGTGTGTGTAATTACCTAAGTGTAGTTACAGGATGAGAGCTACGCTCGTGGTGTCCCGTCTTCCCAGCACTCTTTGTCATATAACGCTTTGAAACTACTGACGGTCTTGGCCTCCACCACCTTCTCACTTAACTTGTTCCAACCGTCTACCACTCTATTTGCGAAGGTGAATTTTCTTATATTTCTTCGGCATCTGTGTTTAGCTAATTTAAATCTATGACCTCTTGTTCTTGAAGTGCCAGGTCTCAGGAAATCTTCCCTGTCGATTTTATCAATTCCTGTTACTATTTTGTATGTAGTGATCATATCACCTCTTTTTCTTCTGTCTTCTAGTTTTGGCATGTTTAATGCTTCCAACCTCTCCTCGTAGCTCTTGCCCTTCAGTTCTGGGAGCCACTTCGTAGCATGTCTGCACCTTTTCCAGTTTGTTGATGTGCTTCTTAAGATATGGGCACCACACAACAACTGCATATTCTAGCTTTGGCCTAACAAAAGTCATGAACAATTTCTTTAGTATATCGCCATCCATGTATTTAAATGCAATTCTGAAGTTAGAAAGCATCGAATAGGCTCCTTGCACAATATTCTTTATGTGGTCCTCAGGTGATAGTTTTCTATCTAGAACCACCCCTAGATCTCTTTCTTTATCAGAATTCTTTAAAGATTTCTCACATAATATATAGGTTGTATGGGGTCTATGTTCTCCTGTTCCACATTCCATCACATGACATTTATTAACATTAAATTCCATTTGCCAGGTGGTGCTCCATATACTTATTTTGTCCAGGTCTTCTTGAAGGGCATGACAATCATCTAAATTTCTTATCCTTCCTATTATCTTAGCATCATCAGCAAACATGTTCATATAATTCTGTATACCAACTGGTAGATCATTTATGTACACAATAAACATCACTGGTGCAAGAACTGAACCCTGTGGTACTCCACTTGTGACATTTCTCCATTCCGATACATTGCCTCTGATTACTGCCCTCATTTTTCTATCAGTCAGAAAATTTTTCATCCATGATAGAAGCTTACCTGTCACCCCTCCAATATTTTCCAGTTTCCAGAACAACCTCTTATGTGGAACTCTGTCGAAAGCCTTTTTTAGGTCCAGATAGATGCAGTCAACCCAACCATCTCTTTCCTGTAATATCTCTGTGGCTCGATCATAGAAACTGAGTAAATTCGATACACAGGATCTTCCAGATCGAAAACCATACTGACTCTCTGATATTATATCATTTCTCTCCAGGTGTTCTACCCATTTAGTTTTGATTAGCTTTTCCAATTCTTTCACTATTACACTTGTCAATGATACAGGTCTATAATTGAGGGGGTCTTCCCTGCTGCCACTTTTGTAGATTGGAACTATGTTAGCCTGTTTCCACATGTCTGCTACGATTCCTGTACACAGGGATGCCTGAAAGATCAGGTGAAGTGGAATGCTGAGCTCAGATGCACATTCTCTCAGAACCCATGGTGAAACGCCATCTGGGCCAGCTGCTTTGTTCTTCCCGAGCTCCTTTAGCATATTTTCCACTTCATCTCTAGACACCTCTATCCGCTCTATGTTGTTCTCTGGAATTCTTATTGTGTCTGGTTCTCTGAAGATTTCATTTTGTACAAACACACTTTGGAACTTTTCATTTAATGTTTCACACATTTCCTTTTCATTTTCCGTGAATCTGTTTCCCATTTTCAACCTCTGGATATTATCCTTTACCTGCAATTTGTTGTTTATGAATTTGTAGAATAGGCCCGGTTCTGCTTTACATTTATCTGCTATCCCTTTTTCAAAATTTCTTTCTGCCTCTCTCCTTACTGCTGTATAGTTGTTTCTCGCATCTTTGTATCGCTGGTATGTTTGGGGGTTTGGCCTCTTCCTATACTGATTCCATTTTTGTGTCTTTTGGTCTCTTGCCCTCTCACAATTTCTGTCGAACCAATCCTGTTTTTTGGCCCTGCATCTCTGTTTTGGTATGAATGTTTGTGTGCCTTCCTCGTATAGTTTTAAAAATTTGGCATACATGTGTGTGTGTGTGTGTGTGTGTGTGTGTGTGTGTGTGTGTGTGTGTGTGTGTGTGTGTGTGTCAGACCAGTTTTGAAATATATAGTGCCAGTGTGTGGTCCTTATACTGTATTGTTAAACAAAAAATAGAAGATAGAAAAAGGACATAGGTATGCCATGAGGATAGTACCAGAGCTGAATTAAGAGTAAAGACTAAGGGAATTAAATCCCATGTCACTGGAACACATTGTAGTTAAATACTGTACATGATTAAAAGATAAAAGTTTTCAGAGTACTTTACTGGGCAGACAAGGACATCATTGGTAAGTGGAATGGGTGGTAGACAAACAAGGGAATACAGATAGAAATTGAGCATATGAATGTGCCACAGAGATATTAGATACATTTTTTCAGTGTAAGATTAGTGAATAAATGGAATGCACTATGAGGGAAGTGGTGATAGAGACAGACTCATTACACAGCTTCAAATGCAGATATGACAGATCCCAATAGGCTCAGGAACCTGTGCACCAGTTGATTGAAGGTTGAGAGGCGGGACCAAATAGCTGAAGCTAAAGGTAGTTCGTACCCCACCCACCCTTTGTTGGCTGTCTCACTGGCTTCCTCTTTGTGTCTTTTTTGGGGTTCAGTTCTGTGGCGCCACTGTTCCCCTGTGCTCAATGTTTTTATGGGTTTTCCTTTTGGGTTTGTGATTAGTGCTCATCAGGCCACTCAGGGTTGGTGATTGGGCCCATTCCTTGGAGTGCACAGGTGCATAAGTTTGCAGCTGTGTGACATGCCATGAAAAGGCTTTTAATTCCGGGCTATGTGCTTCGGCTCCACTCCAACTGCTTCCCTGTGGGTCATTGCCTGAATCTACCGGGTATGACTTTGGTCCATCGCCCTGTGGAGCTGAACACTTTGAGCAGTAGTTTCTCAGGGTATGATTCTCCGTGTGATTCATGTGCGGGGTGTGTCCATTATACTCGCATGTGGGTTATCTCACTTCTGTTCCATTTGGACGGAGTAGACCATCGACAATGTATCCTTCTATTGGATCTTTGAGATGTTGGTTGCATGGAGCCAGCAAACATTGCTACATTCCCTGATTGTGAGGCTTTTGTGGGGGATGCCTTTTGACTGAACTGGTTGAGGTGGAGAGGCATTTACCATCTTCCCACTGGATCAGTTGTTGTTACAGGTTCTGTTCATTCTGGAGTTGTATTTGGGATGGGTTATTCTTTTGGCCCTTTGGTAGCTAGTCCAACCTTGGTTTTCAGGGTTTCTAGCATAGTGTCCAAACCAAGGCATTTTTTCATGGCTCCACCTCTTTCTGCTTATTAATCTGACGATGCACTTTGCTGGTTTGACCTCTGCTCATTGCATCTGGAATTTTTTATGTATATCTATCGTGATTTGAATGGTGGGGTGGCTGTTCCCCACCATTCCCATGTTTGGGGGTTTGTTGGTGACCCACTTGCATCTTTCCTCAGAGTGTGACAGTGCTGTATGTGATTGCCTGGTGTTCGTTTCACCACTTTGTCCCTTCATTGTCTTTCAATGGTTTTGGTTAAGGCTATCCTGTCCTTTTTGTCTTGGTTATTTCTAGATTGGCATCTTATCTAGGTTATCTTGAGATGATTTCAGGGCTTAGCGTTCCCGCGGCCCGATCCTCAACCGGGCCTCCTTTTTGTTGCACACCCCCAGGAAGCAACCCGTAGCAGCTGTCTAACTCCCAGGTACCTATTTACTGGTAGGTAACAGGAGCATCAGGGTGAAAGAAACTTTTTTTTGCCCATTTGTCTCCGCCTCCACCGGGGATCGAACCCGGAACCTGAGAACTTCGAGTCCGAAGCGCTGTCCACTCAGCTGTCAGGCGCCCTTGACACTCATGCCTAATTCTGCCACCTCTATCGCTCGGCATTGGCGGAGACACTGTTGCTTGCGTTCAGAGTCAACTCTTCTTCGGTGCTGTTCTGCAAGATGTTTCATGCGTTTTTTCACCTCCAGCCAGCTCATGCTGCTCCTGAGTCATCCTAGTCTCTTGATTATGTGTTGGTTTCCTCTCTGCCTCATTTTACAGTTTCCAATTCACATTGTAATATCTTTCTCAAAGTTATGTTTTTGTTGGCTCTTGCCATAAGCTGTAGGCTTGAGGAGCTTTAGGCTCTTCTCCAGAGGCAGGTTTTTGTTTGTTTAATCCTGGTGAGCAGTTTGTTCGTTTGCTATTTACTCCTTTTCAGGTGAATCATGATTTAGCTAACTTTCGGAGGGGTTTGTTGATGATTGATGGGCAGGGATGCATCACTTGTTGTGTCTGGTGGCGGTTCTTCGCTGCTACTTGCAGGTCACTATTTCTACCTTGGTGGATGCCTTGTTAGTTAAGCATGTTTCCTTGGTCCCCCACTGTTCCAAAGCTTGTGTTTCCACAGGTTGTCTGCAGTGTCATCAAATCTAGCTAGCTTGCAGTTTACTCTCAGGCCCCATGATGTTTGCAAGTATGCTGTATTGCCCATTGTAGTCTTCTCCAACATGCCCTATGCTGATATTTGGGCTCAGTTTGGCATTCTAACATTGTTGTGGCTGCCCAGTATTTGGTTAATGTCCCTGGTTCCAGTTGGTCATGTGTTGCCTTGGCTATGTCTCCTAGCCAAGATTCTCTTCTTTATCCTAGTGCAAGCTGCCTCTCCTCTTTCCAGGTAAGTCCTGTTATTGTTCTCTGTGCTTTGTTTCAGAGGAGCCACTAGGGTGGAGGGCTTGTTTCAGAAACCCAGCATTGAAAGTAATGAAGTGTCTTTTTCGGAATGAGCCCCTGTGGCTCCCTGAATACCTGCCAGGTTATCGGTTTATATACTGTTTATCAGCTCCAGAACCGAGAAGGAAGATGACTGCATGTGGAAGCAGGGCCACTTTGTGGTATCATTCAGTACTAAGGGGTTTACACTAATTTTGAATGTTTGTCTTGTTCTGTGTAAATCATTTGCAGAGTTGTTTGGCATTTTTCAGGCTTTGGTCTTTGTTAATCCTCAGCTGTCAGGCTGGGCGCCTGATAGCTGAGTGGACAACGCTTCAGATTCGTAGTCCTGAGGTTCCGGGTTCGATCCCTGGTGGAGGCGGACAAATGGGCAAAAAGTTTCTTTCACCCTGATGCTCCTGTTACCTAGCAGTAAATAGGTACCCAAGAGTTAGACAGCTGCTACGGGCTGCTTCCTGGGGGTGTGTAACAAAAAGGAGGCCTGGTCGAGGATCGGTCCGTGGGGACGGTAAGCCCCGAAATCATCTCTAGATAACCTCGAGAAGATAACCCTCCAGTTGTTTATATAGCTTCACCGACTTTCTGGATGGTTTTCCAGTGCGGGGCAAATTGTCACTTGCTTTCTGTGCCTCTGTGGTGGGACCAGGTTTTGCCTCTGGTCCCCAGTCGACCAAACAGAACTCACATGTCTGATGTGACACAATTGCATGTAGCAATCTCAACTAGATAACTTCAGGGAGCCACCGGGGCTCATCCAACAAAAGGAGTTTCATTACATTCAATGCTGGGTTTGATGCAGTTCGGTTATGTTTTATTTGTGTGTTTTATTTATGATTTGGTTGAAAAAGGATTGCTTTGGGAGGTGTCTGTATTATAATCATATTCTCCCATGTACAGGTTCTGTACAGTACTTTTAAGATTAATTTTCACATATTTTGTTGTTCGCTATCTATAAAGGAACGAAACTTCTACACAAATTGAAGGCTGCATGTAGTTAACAAAAACAAAATTATTCATACCATTCTGTATATATAATGAGAGAAATTGATACCAGCTTCTGATGACAATTCCAAAATTTGATTTGCAGAATGTCTTTAAAATATTTATGGCATGAGTTTTATAATTAACTGTGGTTTTTCCTGTCTGGACGTATTGTTGTTGCCGATTCATGTAGGTCGCTTTGCATAGCCAGTGAGGCAGTGATGCCTAGCCTACATCCTTCTTACCAGTACACTACAGTGATCTGATGTTTCCTTCTATCCAACACCTACCTTGAGGTGGTGCTTCCGGGGCTTAGCGTCCCCGCGGCCCGGTCGTCGACCAGGCCTCCTCGTTGCTGGACTGGTAAACCAGGCTGTTGGACGCGGCTGCTCTCAGCCTGACGTACGAATCACAGCCTGGTTGATCAGGTATCTATTATTTTCCACCACCACAACAAATATTACCATATCACTACCACCACCTCCAACCATCATCCCCTCCAATCCAATCCCCTCCCCCCTTTCCACTACAGTACTATTACCACATCTCTCCCACTTCACTTTCATCCATCACCATTTCTTTTTCCTCTCACATTTCCCCCCTCCCTATTTATCTCTTCCCTATCTCCCTTTCTACCATCAACCAACCTTCTTTGCCAATATTACAACCCCCATCACCTGCACAACCATCTCTAAAACTAATGCTTCCACCAGAGCAACAACCTTGACGGTCGCTGATACTTGAACAATCACCATACTGTATCTGCAGGTGTCATCACCACAGCCAATGCTATCACCACACCTGTATAAACCACCAACACAATTACCATCACCACTACAATGACCATAAACAATTATGACCCCCACTGCAGTGAAATCCCCCCCCCCTCTGTTCCCCCCCCCCCTTATTGCATTTGCTGCAGCTACTATACCTACAGCCACCACACCTGCAACCACCACAGCTGCAACTACCACAGCTGCAACCATCACAGCTGCAACAAAGGGGTAACTGATTAACTGGGCTATGGTGCTAGTCGCTAATGTTAAGCTGTTAGCTGCAGGCATAAACAGTGATGTACTCATCACTGTCTGAACTCAGTATATTCACTGTATTCATTACTGTACTGAACCCTGTAATATTTTCACCTACTGAACTTATTACAGTACAGTACAATGTTCATGTGCAGAGATATGCTGACCTGGGGACATCTTCCTTGATTGACATCATGTGATTGAAACATATCTTGTTAATTAAGACATATAAGCCATTTATAATTTTGTTTATTCATTTTCAGTGCCAAATGGGCCCAAAGATCAGGTAACTTGAATCACATGCACTGAAGTGACTTCCCACCTTGTTGGTAATGTACTTGAGTCTTCATTGTTTAATACCCTAGCGTACAGTATTTGTATCTTTTTTATTTTTGTAATTTAATTTTGCATTCAGTTTTATGAATCATTCAATTTCAGTTATGATGTAAACAAAAATGTTATAATTTTAAGATTTACTGTATACATACTGAATTAAAAATTTACTCAGCTGATCCAATGGTTTATTCTTTTAAGAGTATACCATCCTAATTATTCACCCATTATTCAACACATTTTACTCGGTGATAGACAACCTAACTTTGGCGCAGAATTACTCGTCATTCCAGAGCTACACAAGTCCCATGACTTCATCGATGGCCGCGGCTGCAGCTGCTTCTGACCCGTATATGTCATCTTACTACATGACCTCCACCCCTTATCAGGTGGGAGTGATTTGGATTTTGTATAATTAATATCTACTGTGTCACATGTTGACCAAACCACACACATTATCAAGAAAATCGACCTGATAATAGACCAGAACGGACCGAAAGGTCGTCGTCTTTTCATCTTCTAGTGTGTGATTTGGTCAACATTCTTCAGCCACGTTATTGTGACTCATAATCTGCATACAATAGATTAAATGGGTATATTTCATGTTTTGAAGGGATTATACCATATTTTCTTACTTGCTGTTTTTTGCTTAGAGAACTGATGATTGAGTACCAGTAGCTTAGAGAACTGATGATTGAGTACCAATAGCTTAGAGAACTGATGATTGAGTACCAATTGCCATTATTTAAGGTGTCACTTGCAGTGGTACCATATTGTTTTGTCATGTATATTTTCTTCTTTGTTGCCAAAGGTAAGCTTCCATTGTATCATTATCTACAGTTAGGCAGGGTAACATTCTGGTACTGACACCACAGGGAACTCTTCAAGTGACAACTGTAGGCTATATTACAGTTGTTCTAGGGAATATTGGATAGTGTATACCTGAAATATACCTGAGTGGGCTCCAGGTATATTTTGATTTCACACAGTCTTGTACTTTGGTCTGTCTACCTTGTGATAAACAAGATAGCTTTTATGTGAATAATGAAGTCAACATATTTTTAGTATTAGTGCTCAGTTTTAATTCTGCAATTGTATATTGTAGATAAGAGTTGCAAAAATTTGGATATATAGTACTATAATTACAATGACAAAGATATATACCCGTATATAGATACAATGACATATATACCTGGTAAATCAAATTATATACATAAAATTAATGCCATATATGATATTTAAGGCTACTTTTAATTTTTGTTAAATAACATCATGTAATGCTGGAATATTTCCTCAGGCATTCGGAGTTGGTGATGGAACTTGGAGCAATGGGGGTGACCACATGCAAACTTTCCTTGGAGGCTATGGGGGACAAATGGGATATGATTCACACAGCGCCATTGATGGCATGTTTGGTAGTGGCAGTTTTGGTGGATTCAACCCTCCAGGCTTTAACTACGGTTTCCACGGAAATGGTGACTACAGTGCATGGGGAGGGTCAGATGTTCGAGGAGGAAACAAGCCATATGACGACTACTATCAGCGTGATAATTTGTACACTGATGAGCGTGTGAAGGCCCTGGATCAAGGTGTACAAGGACTTACTATAACTGATCCTAAGACAGGTCAAGACTTGCCTAGAGATGGTGGATCAGGAATTGGTAAAAATGCAGCAACAAATGGAGCTAGTGTTGAGGTTAAGTCAAATGGAGGCAGCAGTCCAGGGGGGGAAACGTCTGTTGGCCTGGGCCAAACTAAAAAGGGTATGTCATGGGCTAGCATCGCTTCTCAGCCAGCCAAGCCTCAGCCAAAAGGAAGACGTGACAAAACTACTATGTCATCTATTGTACCTGGTCGCCACATGGACATTGGGACATGGGAGGGTAAAAATGGTGGTGGACCAAAACCTGTGGCTCCTCCCCCAGTGCCACGGCCAGCCTGGGAGGCTCCACGAGGTGGGTCACGTTCTACAACCTCCACTTCATACTCCACACCACCACCACGAACCCCACCCCAGGTGCCTCCCCCACAGCAAGTGCAGCAATCTGGACAACAGCAACAAACTGGGCAACAGCAAGAGCAGCCACCACTACAAACTTTACAGACTTCTCCCCAACAGCATCAACAGAACCAACACCAACAACATGTGCATCAACAACACTTGCATCAACAACATCATCAACAGCAGCAACAACAACACCAACACCAACACCATCAGCAGCATCAGCATCAGCAACTCCAGCAGCAGTTGCCTCCATCTCCGCAACAACAGCAGCAGCAGCAGCAGCAGGCTCCTCCACCACCATTACTGCCAAGTGGAGTCATGCATGCACAGATGGAACTGCCCCCTTCCCCTCAAAGTGGACCCCCAATGTCAATACCTCAACGTGCCCCTTTGCCTCATGTCCCTGGTCAGATACCCGCTGAATTGCAGCCAGACGATCCAATTCTTGAAGGTCTTCGTATGCGTAATGATTATAACCCAAAGGACTTTGACCTTAATCCTAAAAATGCACGTTTCTTTGTGATTAAATCTTACTCGGAGGACGATATTCACCGATCTATCAAGTATGAGATATGGTGCTCGACAGAACATGGTAACAAGCGTTTAGACGCTGCTTTTCATGAAAGAGAGGGTAAAGGACCTGTATACCTTTTCTTCTCAGTGAATGGATCTGGACACTTTTGTGGTTTAGCTCAAATGATTTCCATGGTGGACTACAATTCATCATCATCTGTGTGGGCTCAGGATAAGTGGAAAGGACAGTTTCGTGTGAAATGGATTTATGTGAAGGATGTTCCCAATAATCAACTGCGTCACATAAGGTTGGACAACAATGAGAACAAACCTGTGACCAATTCCCGGGACACTCAGGAAGTTCCCTATGAGAAGGGCAAACAGGTTAGTAATCATTATATTTTAGATATACAGTACTGTGTGACATGTGTATGTAATTACTGTACCTAATTTTAGTTAAAGGGAAAAAAGACCTAAGCCTGTGATGTTCTGTCTTTTGCTCTATAATATAACATTTTAAAGCATGAAGTGGTGGTAGCACATGCATCCTCTCCTGCAGGATTTTTCACCTGCTGACTACTCTGTTAGCAAACTCTTATGTTCACAACAATTTTGTGGCACCTGCCTTTCAACAGCTTGAACTGGTGGCCTTGCATTTGCAATGTTGTGGACTTTAAGAAAACCTTATCTATTTTGTCGATTTCTATAATTGTTTATATATGGTGATTGTGTCTATGCTTTTTCAACTCATTCAATTTTTGTATTTTTTAGTGCCTGCAACCTTTCTTAACAACTCTTACATGTCAATTCTGGAAGCCATTTAATAGTATGTAATTGAACCCTTCAAGCTTGGTCCAATGTTTCCTGAGATTAGGTCACCAAACAACAGCTGTATATTCCAATTTAGGCCAAACATAGGTCACGAACGGTCAGGTAAGCATTTTTTCCGTCCAGAAACTTGAATACATTCCTGACATTTGTGAGGGTAACATCTCGTTGGACAAATTTCATTGAATGTAATTTTAATTTCAACCTATCATATGGGTTGAAATCATCTACCAAGAGGACCTGTCTGTAAAGAGATTTCAACTCGCCTGTGCCGCAGCCTTGAAACCTATTTGTAAAGGTAGTCAAGCTCGTACAGTAGAATCTGTAAAGACATTTCACCCTCATCCCCAGTAATTCTTAGTATCAAGCACCTGAAACTAATTTTGTAAAATTTTGGGCTTTGATCTCCTAATAGAGTGAATGAACCAGGCCTTTTAACTTCCTAACAGTCAAAACCTCTGGTCTCCTGTAGGCCATACAGGTCTACTATGGCTAATGTGACTTAGTAGGGGGGAGGGACATTGCAGAGGGATAGCTTCAGGGGGGGCCATTGAGGCCATACAAAAAGAAGCATTTCATCAAATAGTCAATGCTATTTTCTGGGGGAAACCCCTTTGGCTCCCCGGAGCTAACCGGGCTGATATGAATGTATTAGACCCTGGCATCAGTCAATGCATATGGAGTTCTAGGCCTACCGGGGACCATGAGCCAGAACCTGGCCCCCCTCAGAGAGGCACGAAGTGCAATGGCTTCTAGAAACCCCCATGTAGTTGGAAGCATTCCATGTCTGCCACCGACTGGGGTCAGGCACCCAGAAAGGTAAGCTCTCCAAAACAACCCCATATTCTGGTTAAAATATTGCTACTGAAAGCCAAACTAGTGGACAGAACTCGTCAAATGAAAACGAGCAAATGAGCATGATGTCACCACTTCACCGCGCCGCCATCTCTGCACTCCCTCCTCACCGGGAGGGGAAAGGGGAAGCCCCAGACCCCCGGGCCGGCTATCCACACCCCAGTTCTGTGACTGATGTGAACTGTCAAGGTCGTGCACCTCTGGCTCCTGTATTTTCCAGTTCTGTGCCTTGTGGTTTGGTCCTGTCTACTAGGTGGTACGTGAGCCAGGAGTAATTTCACAAGTACTGTACTGTACTCAGCCTGCATGCGCATAGGGTTATCTTCCCTAGGTGCCTTGTAAGTACTGCCCTTAGGGCTTGGGGCCAACTTCCACAAGTCATCGTGGGGTCTACCTCTGCAGGATCTTTTGCTGCTTGGTGAATGACTGCCTTGGAGTTAGCTGTGGTGTTTTATGCACCATTGTTTGCCTCTGGGTAGTGGGTAGTTTCGTCACTAGTTGGGGCGCAGGGTACTGTGCAGCTAGCTGCCACCTCTCATTGCGGCCAGCTGTGTTCCGCCTGGGCACGTTGTCCTCTTGCAGGGGTTTTTCTTTTGTTTTTGTTTTCCTGCCTGGTGGGGGCCTGCCCCTTGGTTTTGGTCACACACTTATATCTCGGTAGTCCTCCAAAAGGCCCCTGTGAATGTACACATCCGGGGGGGGGGGGGGGGGTCAGCTTTAGCAGTTTACTTGGTAATCTTGGGCACCGGTTAGCAGTACCTTGCCTGGGCTTCCTGTAGTGAGATACATGACTAAGGGCCCTGTTAACCCTGCAGGGGCTCTGGTCCGATGGATGCAACCTCTGAGTCCCCTCTCGCTTCGTGCGAGTTTGAAGGTTGCTCTGTCCCCTTGTCTCAGGGTGACAATCACCGGCTGTGCCTCTGTCATTCTGCCTGTTGGGTCGGTGACACTTTCAACCCAGAGTCTTATGATTGGTGTTGCAAGCATGTTCTCCAGTTCACTCAGGCTATTGAGCTTGATATTCGGGTGCAGGCAACTTCAGCGTTGCATGCTTATTTTAAGTTGTTGCAGCGTGCTATGTTGGTTGCTACTCGGGTGCCCTGAGACTGCCCAGTTTTGATTATAGGGATCTGGACTTGGGGGATATTGGTCACTTCGACTTTGGTTCCGTCCATGCCCCCTTGTCCTTCCCCTTCTGTAGTTCGTCCTGTTCTCCCCCTCCCTCCCTACTTCCAGCTCCGAAGCGTCTGAGGGTTTCGAAGTCGGGACAAGGTTTAGTTGGTGTTGAGACTTGGGCGATTTCAGGGGATGCCCTAACCGGTGTGGCAATGGATGCATTCGAGAATGTTCCTCCAGCCGAAGCGTTTGGGTCTGATGAGCGGGGCCCCCTTCATTCCTGCTTTCTCGGAAGCTTCTGCCTTTTCTTAAGAGGCAGGGGGTTTGGAGGATGGCTCGGCCCCGGGAGGTTCCCGGGGCGGGGAAGAGGTTGACTTCAGGGCCTTGGGTCTCATTGGACCCTGCTTGGGCTTTTGTACCCCTCTGAGTGGGGCTTGTTGCAAGGAGTGGGGTTATCTGTTCCTACTTCCTCGTATGAGTTGGATTTGGCATCTACCCCTCTCTGGGTTTGGTTCGGCTCCCTTGGCTTCTTCGGTCCCGTCTTTCCGAGGTTTTCGGCCTCATGCATCCCTCCTCATGTGTTGCAGGAGGCCATCATGGCTTACCTCCTGCACAACCCGGATTACACCTCCATAATTGATCCTTCTTTCACGTTTGGATCTTCTTGTCCTTACTGGGTTCGTTATGAGGTTCCGGAATTGTCCTGGCTTGCGGACTGCCCCCTGTTCTTATTGAAGGCATGGCATTCGTTCTGTCCTTCCGTCTCTCGTGTCGGCAGGCAGTGCTTGCTTCCTCTGCAGAATCCGCTTGGCCCCCTGGCTCTTAGGTTGTCTTCGTCTTTTTGTTTCTTGCTGTTTGCAGTCTTCGGCAGTGCAGTATCTGCAGTATCAGGGGGCTTCTTCCAGTTGTCGTGCCGTGTCGGACTTGTTGTCGGAGGTGGGGGCTGCTCAGACAGCGGCGTGGTGACGTCATGCTCGTTTGCTCATTTTCATTTGGGAAGTTCTGTCCACTAGTTCGACTTTTAGTAGCAATATTTTAACCACAATGGGGGTTTGTTTTTGGGCGCTTACCTTTCTGGGTGCCTGACCCAGTCGATGGCAAACATAGAATGCTTCCAACTACTCGGGGATTTCTATAGGCTATTGCTCCTCGTGCCTCTCTGAGGGAGGCCAGGTTCTGGCTTGTGGTCCCCGGTAGGCCTAGAACTCCATGTGCATTGACCAATGCCAGGGTCTAACATTCATATCAGTTCAGTTAGCTCGGGAAGCCTCCGGGTCTCACCCAGAAAATGGCGTTTCATTACAATCAATGCTTTTTTTTTTAACTTTAATTTTGTGTTCCTAATTCTCATTTCCCTGTCATAGTTTCCGGAGAAAACTTTAATTTATCTTTTTGTCGATTCTTCATGGTGAGAAGGCTGAGGGGGACCTGCCCAGAAATGCAGATTTGAATGTGTTGAAATTCCTCTTTCTGGGTAGTTGTGTGCACTGTATCTCTTGGACCCACTCATGTGTCTTCCTTTCCCCATTGTGGTCTCCCTCATTGTAGGCTTAAGAATAAAAGATTCATTTCACCAGGCTCCTGAATGTGGTGATCACTGTCTTGTGGTAAGCAGTGAGGTGGTAGATTATGTGTGGTTTGATGGGGTAGCAGTCTAGTTTCTAAGTTTGTTAATTTATTAAATTCCAAGCATTCTTCAAGAGTTCATTTTGCCTTGGTTATTAGTTGATATTTTACCCTCAACTGTTCCCTGTCCCTTTGAGGAGGCAAAATAATTATTGCAATTGTACTTGCTATCATTGGACAGAGATAGTTATGGGAGCCTTGTGTTGAATGTGACCCTGTAGTGTTAGTGCCATAAGCTGAAATAAGCTGGGCAGTCCCTCCCAGAATGGGGTGTTTCATTACACTCAACGATGAATTTTTATTTCTAAAAATTTTTTGCCTTATGTTAGCAACTATAACAAGGTTATGCATAAAAAGCATAACCCTGAAATTTTTCATTCTGTTAATGCATTAATAAAAATTTCATATTTTTGCCAGGTGCTGAAGATAATCAACCAATACCGCCACTCTACTTCCATATTTGATGACTTTTCTCATTATGAAAAACGGCAGGAAGAGACAGAGACTCGTAGGAATCCTGGACCCCCTTACAAGGCATGTGATTTTATGATATTTTGTACATACTATCTTAGGTAAAATTGATTGAAACATTATTTGAAGGTGTATTTCAAAATACTTTCTCTGTTAAATGTTTAGAAAAGTGCTGTTTTATTTTCAGATTAATAATTTTACAATTTGAGTTGTGTAAGTCCTTAACTCTTAAGTGTGGTTATTGTAGTATGTATTGTACATTGATTCCCGATGCAATGTTATTATCATCATAAGTTGATTTTAATTGTTAACACTTTAGTGCGCGCGGCACTCGTGAAAAAAAAAAAGCACCTTGTGCGCGCGGCGTTCTGGGCGCTCAAGCGTAAACACAAAAAAGTGTATAATCTTTTCACGCTCCTAACATCAATTCTCGAGCTACGTTTTTCATTTTGGTATCAATGCGTTGGCAATAAAATTCTCTACAAGATCATATGCATAAAATGTCACCAAAGCATTTGCTATCCCACCACGAAGTAAATAAACACGAAGATGACTCTCCGTGACACCCAAACAGGAAGTAAATGTTCATACTCTTTCGTTTGTTGCCAGCCTCACAGTCATCCTACAGCGCTTATTTTGATATCACTGAACTCGCAATAAAATTCCCCACCCAGACATATGCCTATCAATGTCTAATTATGTTCCGCACGAGTGTGGGAACTGGGCGAAGCGTTAGCCGTGATTTCAGCAGCGACGACACTGTTGTGATGCAGCGCTTTGAAAGTTTATACTTATTTCACTGTCCTGACATTATTTCTTGAACTACGTATTTCATTTTTATAGCAATGTGTTCGCAATAGAAAGTTTTATATATAACAATAGAAAGTTCTATAAGAACATGGGAAGAATTGCCCAACAGAGCGTCAAATAAATTTGCGGCGAATAAAATCTTACGCGTGTTTGTACCCGTGAGCGTAAAAAGTTTTTACTTTGCTCATGTTTTTTTCAAGTTTATACTTGTTTCACACCGTTTTTTTTGTTTGTATAGTGTTCGGAATAAAATTCTCTACACAGACATATGCATATAAATGTAGAATCATGATCGCGGCCAACACAAGAGTGTGTGGAGTGAGCGATTACCCTCGTTGTGTCACCAACTCAATAGTCTCTCCTCTAAGTTACAATACATTGCCGTTTTCTCAAATAGGCACTGTGCCTATTAGAGAAAACAAAAATTTAATGGCAAACATATTCATACAAACCCCAAGTCGATCGAGTAGTAAATACCCACTATAACACGGTCCGTAAATTTACGTCGTGATCCGACAAGCGCTTATCTAAACCGCCCGTAATTCCAAGTGGAAACTCCAGGAAAGTGTTAAGACCATAACAAATTAAGGAAACTGCAAAAGGCCTGTTGGCCCATTTGTGGCGGCTCCCATTTATATCTACTCAAACTCGTATGTCTAGCCTACGCTTGAAACAATTAAGTGATCCTACATCTCTATTATGTTACCCAGTAATCTGTTCTACAAAACAACAACCCTGTTTCCAAACCAGTATTTACCTAGGTCTTTCCTAAATCTAAACTTATCCACTTATATCCATTGCTTTGTGTTCTATTTTGTGTGATGGATTTAATACCTTACTAATATCCCCCCTTGTTATGCCCATTCATCAACTTATACACTTCAGTCATGTCACCCTAACTCTCACCTTTGTGGAGAATGTAAATTAAGTCTTTTCAGTCTCTTCATATGGATGGTTTGTAATTTGTGGGATTAACTGTCATCTTTTGCTGAATGTGTTCGAGTGAATTTATTTCCATTCTATAGTATGATGACCACTGAACTGCATGACCTAAATGAGTCCTTGTAAGAGCACGATATTACTAAAGAATACATTAGGTGTTTTATTGCTAGTGCTTCTAGAAATAAATCCCGGTATCCAATTTGCCGTGTTCCGAACATATATGAATCTGTCTTTTTCGCAGTTAAACTTTGCAATTTCAATACTAACTAGCTGATAACGTTTAACTCTTATCATTATGGCCTAGCCTCAGGATTATACATTTGTTAGCATTAAACTGCTTCTTCAGCTCTGGTCAGCAGTCTTGTTTTGCCTCCCAGCTAACTGCATAACTTTGTTTGGGCTCCTAACTACATCAACTTGTTGATCTGCAAGTGGTGGTGGCAGCTGCCAGGGCTTATGCCAATTGGGTTTTTGACAGAGACTGCTGTTCTTACCACTCTTTTCTTCCTTTCTGCCAGTCTGTGGGCCCCAATGAGAATGTAGGCTCCATCTCTGGCCCCTTGCTCTCCTGTGATAGGACAGGGTCTTAGGGTTTCCGAGTTTGTTTGAGGAGAGACCATGTTTGCCCTTTCTCCCTTTTTGCTTGCAACCTTGTTACATCTAGACTTGAGGGACTGTGTTTCCTGTGAAAGGTTTGTTTTGTCCTTCTGAGACAAGAATACTGAGATTCACATCTAAAAGTGTTAGTATTCTTCAACTAGTATTCTTCATTCTAAAATACTAGTATGTTAGCATTCATTGTTATTCTTTAACTTTACCTTGGTCGTATTAGATTTCATTTAGATTAGATTTTTCATTTAGATTAGATTTTTCATTTAGATTTAGATTTCAATCTAAAACTCATTTAGATTTACATTATGCAGTTCAGTTTTGTGCACCATACTATAGAACGGATACATATTCACTGGCATGTGTGCAGAGATTTAAACTCCCTCATAAAAGAGAGAGACAGAGAGAGAAAGATTAATTTACATTCTCTGGAAAGCCAAAGAATAAGAGCATATGACTGAAGTATATAAGTGAAGGAAAGTGTGTGCACCTGTAAAGTGAAGATGTGTTTTGGAGTCTCTCTTGTTAGCTGATTATTTTCTTGTAACAATGACCTTGCCTCAAGCTCTGTATGAACTCTTTAACACTTAAATCAGAAATCTATGAAGCTCCATATAGAGTGTAAAGAGTCATAAAAGGATGTGAGGCAAGAAAATTCACAACAGATAAATTAAAAATGGTTGGCAGAAGACGAACTAGGCCCACTACAAACTATCGAGAAGACAGTGGTTAAGATGTTGAATCCCATCTCCATTTTACAGGGTTGAATTTGTCAGGAAATGCAAGGTTGAAAAAGTTGAATGTTGCTACAAAGATGGAAAGAGAGCATTGGCTGTTATGGATTCACATGGGCATTATAAGAATAGGGAATGTAGGGATGTATGTTTGAGGGGTAGGGTTTGTTGTTGTTGAATGCGTGTGCATGTAAGTACTGTATATGTGGAAGGTACGCAAAGATCAAGGTCCAAATATTCATAATAAATTAACAACTTACTGGAGCAAAAGATGTAAAAAAATGAAGAATCGATCCAGTGAAGAGTTGATGTGCCATAGGCACAACTAGAGAACATATCAGAGCATGTATAAACATCAGAGGCCCACAGCTGTTTAGCCTCCTTCTACCAAATATAATAAATGTTATATAATAAATGAAACAAAAGAGCAAATATTCAAGGGATAATTGGACAAGTTCTTGCACGAAGTGGTAGATAAGCTGGGTTGTAATAGATATACGACTTGCAGGCCATTGCAAGTGACAGCCTTACTGATCATATATCATCTGACAAGTTTACCTCACACCCAAACTTTACGAGTAGAACTTCCAAAGCCGACTACTGTATAGATAACTATAGGTAACACTTCCCCAACTACCACAACATCCACCATTACAGCATCCACTGCAAGCACAGCTACAGTGTCCAGCACTAAAATCACAGCACGCACTCCCCCCTTCCCCCCACTAGATGCTCATTACATTAACTGTGCTCATTCCATCAGCCTGTATTTATTACGTGATTGCACTCATTACGTGATTGGTACTCATTTAACCACCATGTTCATATTGTGAATTAATGCCAGCCTTTGATACCTATCCTGACTACCCTTAATTTTGAATCATGTCTAATTTACATAGAATCTTGGTACTACATAGCCTTTCCAGTTTGGTGCTGTATTTTGATAATTACTTACTTACATAGAATCTTAATGAATCAAACCATCTTCAAACTTTATTACATCTCCTCTTTGATGTTAAAAGTAGAAGTTGATCTCTCTTAAAGAAATTATTTTTTTGTTATTTGGAGATCGTTTCTTGACAATTTATTTATTTACTTAACAGGATATGGATCGAGACGATCGTCGCAATGACCGCATGGATCATCGAGATCACCGTGACCATCGTGATCATCCAAGAGACCATCGAGACCATCGAGATAACCGTGATCATTATCACCGTGATCACAGAGAGCAGCGTGACCATCGGGGTGACCACCGTGAACACCACAGGGGTGGGATGGGTGGAGGACGTGGACGAGGTGGTCACCATCATCCTCACCATCGTGGTGCACGCAACTAACCATAAACTGAACCACAGTGTGTTAAGTCCCTATTGAAATAAATATTGAGGGATTTATATCTGTGACATACAAAAAACTTAATAGAAAACAAATCTAGTTTACAATTGTTGACATGGCCTGGTGGATAATGTACTTCAAAAAAATTATAAAATATCTTATGGACCATTGGCTCTATTTTGATCATGAAATGTAATTAAAACATTGCTGGACAATCTGACCAGAAAGTTTTGTAGTCAAGAAACTCTAAGCTGACCAGTGTTTTTATAGCAGTGAAGGACTTGATATATCCTCGATTCTAGGAACTAGGTGATCGCATGTGGTTGATTGATCCAAGGAGGCTTGCTAGTGCCGACTTAGAACCTCTTGAGTGTCTGCCTAATTGAAAGCTAGTGATGTGGAAGCTATCACTAAAAATTGAAAATGCTACACTGCACGATACACAATGTCATGCATAACATGTCCAGCCAAGAATACTATTCTGTAAATGTGAAAAAAGTGTAGCAGTGCACTGAAACACTGTTTTCGTCCACTGTTCAAGTTTAGACAGGCACCCATTAGCACCAAACTACACCAGCCTGTTTGTCAGCTTAAGTGATATCACAGATTAAAATAACTGTCACGAATGATTTGTCACTGTTTCCTGAAGAACTCTTGGCATCAAGAACTGCAAAGAATATGCCACTGTCATTGTTATCCTTTTGTTTCTTTCACTGTTGTGGTTAGGGGAATGGAACACAGTATATATATTTAACCTAATCCTCCTATAATCGTACAACTGCGGCTTGTATCAGAGAGCCAGATGACTTGACAGAACCCACATGGGGGACCTGAGAGCTACCAAGCAAAACATGAGATGGGCTTGCCAGCTGCCTTACTCAGTTTGTATTACAAAGAACAACAACATTAACAATATCAACAAGTTTTGCCTATGATTAGAGCTTTGAGGATAAAATAACAAATAACAATTAGTTTTTTATAATTTTACTGCGAAGTTAAAAAAGTGTAAAGTGAAATTAACTAGTTTAATTAACTAAATAACTAAGTGTAAAGTGAAATATTTGTCAAGCTAAAGATTTGCAAAATGCGTCTGTGAAGTTAGGCAGTGGATACCAGTGTAGAAGTATCAGCTCGGGTCTGTGGAAAAAATGATAAACAAGGGAAGTTGGACTGTTCTTTGGTGTTTATTTCTTAGTGCCTGAGAGTATGGTATTGTGTAGTTTAAAGTGATATTGTAAATGCTCTTGAATATAAAACATGAACCACCTTAGACTCAACTTGGTTTGTTTCAGCAGTGCCTCATTTAACTGAAATAACCGTAGTTGTTAGTGTTACCATTTACTGTCATCTAATAATTGATATTACAAAAACTTATGGTTCTGTGGAATCATTTTTTCAAAAATACTACCACTTCAAAACCCTATCAAAAATGGATAAAAGATACTTTATAAATTATGAAATGCAACTATAGTGACCGTGTTACATATTATGGATGTGCTAAGTATCCAGTGTTGATATAGAAAAGAACTGTTAACAGGCTATTGAAATCAGTGTGGAATAAACTGGGATTGAAGTTCAAAGCTGGCTAATTGCTTGGTGCTGTTGTGAAGGTCACTTGTGCTTGTTGGAATGCTGCCATGTATCAAGACCACCTACCGTTGTGTCCTGCTGCCCTGACCCTTGCTGTGCCCGTGCCACACAAGCTGCTTGGGCCTTTTCAACAACAGTCTAGCTCTGATAAGCTGCCTCTTGTTTGTCAGGGATGTGTCAGGGATTTAGCTTTAGAGGGAACAGCTTTCAGAGCAAATGAACCAACATTATAATTTTCTGTACCTTGGAACATTTGCATTTTGTGTGGTTCGGGCACAAATCGCTGATAATGCGCTTTTATTATTATTATTTTTATAATTTTTATTATTATTATTATTATTATTATCATTATTATTATTACTACTACTACTACTACTACTATTTTTTGCGTTCAGAATTTTGGCACATTTTGTATTTATTTAAAAATGGCTTCATATTTAGATGTGATCACATCCAATTAAATTTTTAAATTGTAGATTGAGTGCCTGGAGGAAGTCTAAATGATATTTCCTTTTTAACTATACTGTACTTTTATTCATAGATGTTTGTTCGACTTTGCCACAGACTTTCTTAGTACTTCCTTCTTGCTGTGTCTTGGAAATGGAATAATTGGATTGCATCTGGTTTGCAAGTGTGTGTACTTGAGGTTTCTGATCTATAAATTGTCTTAGGAAGTCAGTTGTGTCAGTCTGTTTTGGGAAGAATGCATTGTTTTGCAAATGGGACCGCCACTATCATTTGGGGAACTTGACCACGCTACAGAGTATTTTCTTACCCTTTATGAATGTGTGCATTATATTCTCCAGATTCCAAAGAAATGAATTGGATGTAATTAAATATATATGTGGCATGGGGTGGGTCTTGTGATGGTGGTAGTGGGCAACTGCCGGTGTGTAGTGTTCTCCCCCCCCCCTTCTCTGTCCCTATAACCAGTAGCTTAGTTGTGGGTGCCAGTGCGTGGGTTTCAGTGGTATTTTATATATTACCATCATGTTTCTTGTATTAAATACTGAGTATTGCTCTGTAACCTATGTATATTATTTCTCATACACAGATGTTAAGTTGACTAGATATCCATATTATAGTTTATGTATCCAGCTTTCTAGCTTCATTTATAACACGTCTGCATTAGTAACTGCCTATAATTTTAGAAGTGGCACTGTCTGCTCTGCCCCTCAAATAGTATTTGAAGGTTGTTGAGTGATGCTTGTTAAGATGTCATTAAGAAATAATTTACATATTTGACTGTTGTTAAGAGACCCAAGAAAAATATAAATGAGGAATATTTTTTTTTGTAATAAAATATAATGTCGAAGAAGCGGTTAATTATATTAATGATTAATACACTCCCAATAGAGTTGTGTGGTTATATGTATGTGGTGATTCTTATATTACGTCAGATTCATTATTTAAATTGATTCCATTCTTGATAACGGAATATGACATACAATTTAGCATTGGTGACTTCAAATAATCTCATGTTTTTGACCAGTAATTGTACACCAGTGACAAAATATTGTATTACATGTTCCCCATAATGCTCAAGTTAGAATTATGACCTTCATCTACAAAAGGGGAATAGTCATGTTAGTAAGTATCTTGATATTGAAAACTTGTCAGTAGAAGTCTTCAATACATAACCCACAAATATAAAAAGTAAGAAATCCCTACAGTTTTATAAGGTAGAGTTTACTAGTAGTCCAGATACTTTTTTGTTGAAGGTCATAAAGATAGTAACTATAAAAATGGGTAGTGCCTACAAGTGTCAAGGATAATGGACCAATGCTTGGAGTAAAAGCCACAAATTGGATTTTTTATACAATATTGAACAGCTCAATTGTTGACCTAGTTTTTGGCCTTAAAAATGTTCCTATGAACAGCATCATTGCCACAGATTACAATAGGATGGAACACATTTATCTTCATATTTGTATAGTTATGGGGTATTGATTATCATATAATGTGACAGGTTGTCATTTTATAGATATCACCTCATGTAATTGGTGGCAATGATTATATATTGTGGGTAATTATTGAATAAAAAAAATCACAATTGTTTGATATCAATGAAATCTCTTAATTTTATGATTTGTTACCAAGAGTACAAGGTTTAAATTAAAGATACTGTGATGATGGTTTGGTTACTACATTGAATGACATTTCATTTAAGTTATCCATGAAATTTCGTAGTCCTGAAAATGTAACAATGATTTGGAAAATACTTTAGAGGTAGAATTATAGTTGGCAATCTTATATAACAGTGTACGGCTGTGACTTTGATGATGGATATAAACATATTGTAGCAAATGAACAAAAAAGAAAATAGTACATGCAAATAAGAGTCAGAAAGTATGGAAATTTCTGTGGGTATAATGGCAAAGATGTGTATGTATATGATTGATAATTGGTGGGTAGAGCTTTGTGGGGGCAGAGCGGTGCGGTTATGTGGTCTTGGCAGGTCCCACCTGTGGGAATAAAAATGTTCATCAATAAAACAAAATGTACACAGGAACTGTCGAGTCTCCTTGTAGCCCTCCTAGACAGTGCCTAATGACTTGGATGATGGATGTAACATATTCCATTAATATCCTAGTTATGGTAATATCAATTGGTTTCACAATGTTTTACTTTTGAAGTATTTAGTAGCGAAAAAGTTATTGACAATAAAGGGATACATAACACCATATGGATGATATTTGTACTCATTTTGTGTGTGTATCTCTCTCTCTCTCTTATTTCTTTCTTCTCTCTTCTCTCGTCTTCACTTCTTCTCCCTTCTCTCGTCTTCTCTTCTTTTTCCTTCTCTCTCTCTCCGCTCCCCCCTCCTGTATTGGTCTGTAAATGCATAGTCACAGATACATTGGTGTTGGGTGGAGACAGGGGTGGCAAGTTGCAGGGCAATACCAACATTTAGGGCCTGATTATCCACGTGAGTGCCCAAGGCAGAATTAGGGATAGTCAACAGGAAATCCCCTTCAAGTTGGACTTGCACAGCCAGGAGGTGTGCTTTATCCTTCCCAGAAACTGCCTGCAGCATGGCTGAAGCAATGTTCTCCACGATGGGGTTATTCCATTTGGCCTTCTTTGCAGTAATTTGGAAAAGTTAGTCTGGGTGAGAAGCCCACAAGATTGTCCCACTGGCTGACTCCTAGTGAATTTGGGATCATGTATCCCATTGGAGTGTCTTAAGTTTTCTCTGGTAGGATTTCTCACTAATTCACTCGCAGCACTGGTCAAGGATAAGAATGTAGGCAGTGCTGTCTGTGTTGACTGTCATATATCTATACATCCAAGTCTTAACTGGATGTGTTGCTTGGTCCCATTGGTAATCTTTGAGAGAAGTTTAACACTTTCATGGATATTGCTTTTAGGAGTTTATCATACTCTGTTAATTTTGGGCTATTGAAAGAGAGAGCATACCTTAGGAAATAGGTAAGCCTGGGAAAAGCCAGGCACTTTGTGAGAAGGTACAAAGCATTATGTGCATCAAAAATACTTATTCTTTCCTCCATCCTCCTCAGGTCATTCAGCTTTTTTTGAGGAATTCTGCATGGCATTATAGCCCAAAGGTGCTCCTAGTAGCACAGTAGGGGCATTCACTGAGGCTCCTTGCAAGAGGGTTCTTACTACATCTATGATTAGTTGACTAGACGAGATGATTTCACACTGAAATATTTGAGGTGAGTCCTAACTCCACTTCCTTAGATTTCACTAGCTGTAGATCCATAAGAAAGGACTCCTGTGTCCTGCCAGGGTACTATCATACATGAACCAGGTGTTGAGCTTGCTGGTCAACCTGCTTGTCACCTCTTTAGCAGCCATGCAGAAAAGGAAAGGCGCATATAATAACATAATTAGTATATTTTTAGTCTTTCTTGTAGACATATGTTATTGAATATGACAGAAAGATGGTGATCAATGATTTTAGCACAAATCTTCTGTATATTTCCTATGTTCTTCACTTGAGAATCAAGTTGAAAAATTGACTACATTTAATTAATCCTGTCAACATTTTCAAAGGCAGAATAGATGTGAATACAATTTAGCCAGAGCAACTGAATATATAAAAGAATGAGGGGAAGTAAGGTGTCGCATAGGCCAAAAGGTCCATTGCAGCTTCCTTACTTCCAATGTTCTTATGGTTGCTGGTGCAGTATACTAGATGTTTTGTCTTGTTCTTGAAGTTGGTAGAATGTAAAGAAGTGAGTTTGATATGCAGTGCTTCACTGATGTCTAATCTTCTAGACAATTGGCAATTTGACTTACATGGATAGTTCAAGTCTACCCATAAATTGTTGTATGGTATCTGGAATTTGTAACTATACAGTACCACTACCTTTATGGGGTATCAAGTGGTGGCTGCTGTTATGTCATATTTGCAGCCTTCTTTCTATTGCCAGTATGAGGTGCCTTGGTAATCTTTCTGGCTTTTCATTTTTTTTACCAGTGGTCATGTTCTTTCTGTTTTGGTTGTTTGTGGAGTGTCATCTTAGAACTGTTGTCACCTGTTATTTGGTCTTGGTGGATTCTCTCATACTTGTTTTTCAGGTGGATGTTTCTTTCTCTTTTCTCTTGTTGTCTAGGGCCTTTTTTCACCTCTACCTGATCCCTGTTTCTTTAAGAGCCTAGTTGGTTCTTGGAATGGCTCTTTGTGTTCTCACGTTGTTTTCTTGTGTCCCTCCCCCCAACACCCGACTAAGTATTCCTATGTCGGTTCTTGCTTCTGATAGTCATGTTTCTTGGTGGTTTCCTTGTTGGCTCTTGCTTTTTGTAGATATATTTACAAAGTTGTGTTTTTTTGCTACAAGAAGTGGTTTTATTCTTTTGGGTATAGGGATCATTGTCTCTAGCCTTCTCTGTCCTTTTAGCCAAGAATGAGTCCTGTGCTCTTTAAAGGGATCCTCTGGTGGTGAACCCTTGGTTTGACCAGTCATGGGTGCATTATGCCCTTGTTATGTTGCTTCATTGCAATATTAATTGCATTTTACTCACCACTTACCAAGCTGTTGCTCTGACAATCCTGATGACTTGTACCATGGTCAGACTTTCTCAGGTTGTTCATTAGGTGATTTGATTCAGCCAGTCTGATGTGTATCCATGTGTGCATGATATGTGCAAGAAAGTTGCTAATACTGTCATATTTGCTAATATTCAGACTCAGGAGCAGGGTGTTTGGCAGACTTACAATGTTGACTGCTTGTTACCTTTAGGAAATTTGCCATCCTTGCCGGGTGATGCTTTAACATCTTCCCAGTTACTGCTTCATCCTTCCCTGAGCCTTGGTCCTTACCTTACTTAAAGTCTTGTCCTGTACTTCCTGGTGACTTGATAGATGCATACTCCTCTCTTTGATTATGGCTGTCCCTACCTATTCCTGTGTCTCTCCCTCGACCCTTCATTGTCTTAATGCTGTGTATCATACTGGGTTACGCCTCAGCTCTGGCACTTTCTGTTCGTCCCTCACCCAGAGCCATAGCTTTTTCAATATCCCATTACACAGACTAGGTTACATAGTTTTTCTGGGTTGACACCCTCTTTTTTGATAATTACTAACTTCATGAGCCTTGGGTTTCCAACCTTCTCCACTAGGGAGCCGGTCGGCCGAGCGGACAGCACGCTGGACTTGTGATCCTGTGGTCCTGGGTTCGATCCCAGGCGCCGGCGAGAAACAATGGGCAGAGTTTCATTCACCCAATCCCCCTGTTACCTAGCAGTAAAATAGGTACCTGGGTGTTAGTCAGCTGTCACGGGCTGCTTCCTGGGGGTGGAGGCCTGGTCGAGGACACTAAAGCCCCGAAATCATCTCAAGATAACCCACTGGCCAGCCCATCACCATTGGGAGCATGTATCTGACGTACATGTACTTAGGGGCCAGCCAAGAAAAAGTAGCTTCCGTTCTTGGCCTTCTTTGGCCTTTACCTCGTTGAAATCAGAGTAATTTTTTGGGGGGATATCATACAAGGCATGCAGGCAAGTTGAACCCTTGGTTGGCCTGAGCTGCCATCTGGTTGTGTGAATACTAGCTCATGGTTTGTTAACCTATTGAAAACTACTCTAATCAAGATACATGGATTGTTTTACCCCTGCGTATACATGGGGTAGTTTTACTTGGTTTTGAGGGTGATCTTGGAACCCCATGCTTCCCTTGCCTCTTTGCATTCACCAGGTACAGTACTGTTCCTGGTGTTCAGCATGCCTACATAAATCGAAAGACCTGGTAGCTTTGTGGAGGAGTCTGTGGTACCAGAGCCACTGCACCAGAAAGCTTCTGAGGCCACCCAGAAAAGTCCCCAAGTTCAATATTTTTTTTGGTGTGGGTAGGGATTTCTTCACCTTATTAGATAATCCCCAAACATAACCCTTTGGCTGCACTAAGGAATAGTAGTGAATTAATACAAATGTGCTCAAGAAAATTATAAGTGACCTAAGTCCATGTGCCTAGAAAACCTTTCTAAATCATGTAATGTTTGATCAAGTCCTCTGATTTTCAAAACAGGCCCATTGCCATGGTAAGTGCTGATAACTGTTGGCATTAGAATCAAATATCACTCTTGTCTGGTAGTGCTGAAGATTGGAAATAATGATTCCTTCAAAACCTCACATTTATACCTCTCACCTATTTCTGTAATTTTTTTATGATTTAGGTATGTTATGTTCTTTTAAATGTAACATTTTGTGACCAATAAATATATATTCTGTATATATATTTAACAATATTTGTAAATTTACAAGCTTTGTAAGAGCTTTTGTTTCTAAATATTTCAATCTTCTTGTTCAAGGTTCATTACTATTTTCTGGCCCATAATGATTAATAGTAAATATGAAAAATGCATTTTCCTACTAATAAATTTAAGCAAAAATAATAAAACCATAGCTCAACAAGAAAACAAAACAACTCAATGAAGATAAAAATAAGGTAAAATTCAAGTGTTTAGTTATTTGCCAAAAAAAATACATGCAATAAATTCCTTGGCAAGTACAATATGTTTGATTGTTGTAGTTTATTTATTATAATATTCTATACATTTGGAACACATGGTCAGATTTTGAAGTAACATATTTCTGGGGAAGCCCGCCCCCCCCCCCCCCCCCAAGTTGCCTCCTGAAGTTATCTCACCGAATCATAGGAGTAAATCAATTGGAGCAATGTGGTGACTTGAACCAGTAATCTGGGTATTTCCAGCCATGTACCCTACCCCTGTACCATGTTGCAAGTTTGAGTCACCACATTGCTCCTATTGATTTTCTCAATGATATATCACATTAATGTGATTTCTTTGTAAGTCATATAAGTCCTGTTTGTCCTCTGGAGTTGCATCATTTGTTGTGTTTAGTGGTGGCATTTCATTGTTACCTGTGTGGCACCCATTTTGCTATGATGGACATCTTATTGGTTGATTCGGTCTGCTTGGTCCTATGTTCCTAGATTCCTGTATCTCAGGTTGTTCGCAGTGTCATTAAAGCTAGCCACGCTGAGATCTACTTGGGTCCCAGTACAGACCGCAGCTTGGA